GAATTTGATTTCTCCCAACTCCATGGCGGTCTCATCTCATCTCATCGGTTACAAAATGAACTCGGGGTCAAGCGGTTTTCCTTTACTTTCGATGCGTGATAAGCAAGCACTGGTGCTCTGCAAGTCAATCGAGGCGAGGCGCGGCTGCCGGCCAAGCCCTACTCGGTGCTCTGCAACTGCTGGACGCGTCAAGCTCTACTCCTCCCGAAGCTTAGCCCGTGATGGGCTGCGCGTCCTCAACACCCGGTGGTGAGGCCTCGGCTCCTGCGCCTCGGCTCTCACAGCGCGAGCGCGAGCAGAAGAAGCCGTCGACCTGCGGCTCGCTGGTTTGGAATGATGTGGCACAGGGCACGCTGCAGCTGGTTTGGACGGAGAACGACCCGGTGCGAGTGTATTAGTCGGAGCGGTGTCGCTTCGTTGCGCCACCTATCCTTGACCGTATTGCCCCCACCCCCTCCGCCCGTCCTTGGGCCCCGCCCGCCCGATGCCCTTGGGCCCCGCCCGCCCGTGACGCCCGCCCGCCACCCCGCACCCTGGCACCCGGACGCAGGTTGAAGGCGCACTCGCCTTCTTCGAGACGGAGGCCAAGGTGCCGGCGTTCAAGCTGACTCAGAACTGCGGCAGGTCAGACATCATGAAGGGCTTGGGCGGGCCGAATAACACCAAGTTTTACCAGGCGTGGACGCAGTTCATCAAGCTCGCGCAGGCGTGGCCGGGCGAGTTCACGCATGTGCTAAACATGGACGCCAAGCCGCTCGCCATCTACACCACCACCGAGGCCATCAAGGTGAGCCGGATCACGCGCGGCGAGGCGGTGGACCTCTCGCAGGTGACGTGCGTCGCCATCGTGCCCGAGGCCTCGGGAGCGTACCAGGGCGTCACCTCGCTCGAGCTAGGGATGTTCAAGCAGAACTGCAAGAGCGGCGGCGGCGTTGTGCTGGACCTCGTGTCGAGCGCCAGGTCGAGCGCCCCGCCGTCGCCTGTCCATTCGAGCCCAGTGCCGGCCGCCGCTTGAACCTGTAGCTACCCGAGCTGGAACCTGTGTCGAGGGCACTCAGACCAACGTGTGCGCGCGCGCTCACATGACTATCGAGCCCGTCTCGTTCTGTCGTTGTGACTGAGATGGAACCGACCAGTCGCTTGCTTTGACCTTTGTTCTTTCGTGCAGTAAATTGTGAGTGTGGGCCATCATTCTCATTCTTCTGAGAGCGCCTGTTCAACGAAACAAACCGAAAGGCACAAACACACACTGTCACACACAGACATCCCGGAGTGGGCTGCATTTCAACGTTGCTTACCGTGGCGGCTCTCTCCGCTGGTGGCCGCGGTGCATGTTGGCGTGCACCCGGTGTCCCGTGTCCGAGAGAGAGAGATTTTTAGCAATACCAAACAACTCTAACGTTTTGTTTGTCGTGTCCGTGCCAGTGCGCGCCAGTCGAGTCCCGCACCCACAACAATCTCTCTCTCCCAGTTCCGCGCCCGGTGTAATAAAAGGAAAGAAGGAAAACACGCGAACCCACGGGGGGATGGGAGAACCGCACAGGCCGCCACCACACAGGGATTTTAAGGAAAGGAGTGTTCCCTTGGGCGTCTGCCTCCTCCCCCCCTATCTCTCGTGACCTTCATGCCACCTCGCGGTCGTTCCAATCTCGTCGTAAAAAGAAAGAAACCACACGGGGGATGGGATAAAATAAATAAATAAAACGGGCACGCCAAACGAGGGGTGGGAGAAGGACAGGGATGGGAAATCTCTCGTGCAACAATTCTTTTTCCCATGTTTTCAGGGCTCGTATGATGATTGTTGGGCTCTCCGTTGCGACGGCGGCCGGCAGCAGCAACAAATGGCCGATCCGGGCGCCTCACGCGGACAAGGTCCCAGCCTCGTTCGACTGCGAAATGCGCAAAGCGGCCTACGACTACGGCCGGAAGCTGCTGCCCCGCTTGGGCTCCTTTGAGTCGCTCTACTACGCGCTTGGACTGAATGGACCGGGCTGCACGGCGCCGATGCGCGGCGCCGACGCAACGTCGCCCTTCCAGCCTGAGCCTGCGCCCTCGGGGAGCATCTTTGTCTCACCTGCGGGCGACGACGAGGGCGCAGGCACCGAGGCGACACCGCTGCGGTCGATCCAGCTGGCCTGCGACCGCGCCGCGGCGAGCGCCGCGCGCACCGTGGTGCTCCGAGGAGGGACGCACTTCCTCTCCTCCACAATCACGCTAAACGCCTCTCACTCCAACCTGCGGGTCATGGCGCACCCCGGCGAAGTGCCGGTCGTTTCGGGCGGGGTCGAGCTCAAGGTTGCGTGGAGGCCGCACGACGTGGGGCGTCGCAACGCCGCCAACGAGACGACCAACATTTGGGTCGCCGACGTGAGCGGGGTGGACGACATCCCGGGCCTGCAGATCGACGGCGTGCGCGCGACGCGGGCGCGCTGCCCCAGCCTGCCGGCCGGCATCTCCGCACACGAGCCGGCGCTGTTGAGCCTTCTCTGAGCCTTCGTGCAGGCGCGCTACCCGAACCTGCCGGGAGGGATCGAGGTGTCGCCCGGCTACGGCGGGATGGTCTCCGAGAAGGACGCCGACTGGACGCCGCCCGACTTCAACAAGTTCGGGCCCGTCCACTTTTACACGGACAACGCCAGTTCGCACGACCGCCCGAACGGCGGCTGGTTCGAGCACTACATGATTGGAGTGGGTCGGGCTCGGTTGGAGCGCGAGCCTCCTCTGCGAGGAGCGCCTCTTCACACCCCCTCACGCCGCGAGCAGGCGGGCTCTGCTCCGTCTACGACCCTCCCGTCTCGTACTGGTGCTCGCGCCACCCGTCTGGCGGAGGCGCCTTCGCCTTCCGCACGCCGTCGGGGGTGACGCCCAAGCCTGGCGCGCTGCCGCACGCGCCGTACAAGGACCCGTCCGGCGCCCGCTCCCTCGCGCGGAGGCACCTGCAGGGGCCCTCTCGGAGCGCCTCCGAGCTCGCCCGTAGGCCCCTCTCGCTTCGTCTGGCGGCTGCGACACACGGCTGCGACTCACGGGCGAGAAGGCCGCGAGTAGGCGCACTCTTCTTCGTGTGGCGGCCTGCGCGCTGGGCCAACTGGATGTTCGAGGTGGGCGCGTACAACGCCTCCTCCGGCAACTTCACGTTTGGCAAGGGCGGCAACCAGGGCGCGCGCGGCGAAAACCGCGGCGGCGACTTCTTCGTGGAGAACATCTACGAGGAGCTCGACGCGCCGGGCGAGTTCTTCTTCGACACGAAGGCGAAGCGGCTCTACCTCTTTTACAATGGCACCGGGCCGCCGCCCGCCGCCGCGTCGGTCGTCGCGCCTTCGCTCCGCACGCTCGTCAACATCAGCGCGTCGCGTTGGGCGCCGGTGCGCGCCGTCTCCCAGAGCGGCGCCCCCTCGCCCGCGGGCCGGCCCTGGACCGGCTCTGACGCGTCTGCAGGCGCGCGGCATCTCGCACAGCGGCGTCACCTTCCGCGCCGCGCGCTACACGTACATGGACCCGCACGGCGTCCCGTCCGCCGGCGATTGGGCGCTGGACCGCGTGGGCGCCGTCTTCCTGCAGGGCACCGAGGGGGTCCGATTCGACGCGTGCTCTTTCGAGCGGGTCGACGGGAACGCGGTGATGGTGTCGGGGTACAACCGCCACGCCGCCATCACCAACTCCGACTTCGCCTTCGTCGGAGGGAATGCGGTCGCCGCGTGGGGGTACACCAACGAGACGGCGTCGGGGCCCGAGCGGACCCGTGGCCCATGCATGACACGACCGTGACACGTCCGCGACGCGTCCCCTCAGGCGTCCGACCCGGGCAGGCCCGGCGAGCGGATTGAAAACTACCCGCACGCGGGGGTGGACGGGACAGACGGCAACCACCCGCGCTACACCACCGTCTCCGGCTGCAGCGCCCGCGAGGTTGGCCTCTACGAGAAGCAGTCGTCCTTCTTCGTGCAGGCCAAGACGGCGCAGTCGACGGCGCGCGGCGACGTCTCTTTCCAACGGGCCGCGGCGATGCGTCCACGACGCGTCCACGACGCGTCCCACGGTAGGTGAGCGGCAACGTCTTCTTCAACGGGCCGCGCGCTGGGATCAACGCCAACGACGGCTTCGGCGGCGGCGACGAGATCTCGCACAATCTCGTCTTCTCCACCTGCCGCGAGAGCGGCGACCACGGCCCGTTCAACTCGTGGGACCGCCAGCCCTTCCTCACGACGGTGCGCGACGGCAGCGCCTCGATGACGATGGCGTGGCGCGAGATCCATCACAACTTCTTCATCGACAACTACAGCCCGCAGGCCCGCCTCCTGCCACTTGCGACGCCGCCCTCACGCCGCCCCTCACGCCGCCGCCCACGCCGCAGGAGGATGTCGACAATGACGACGGCTCGGCGTACTACAAGACGCACCACAACTTCCTCGTCTACGGCGGGCAGGGCATGAAGAACGACTTTGGCGGCCACGACAACCACCACTACTCCAACGTGTACGCCTATGTCGGCCGGGGCCTCGGCGTGTGCTCGCAGCGGCCGGGGCACGAGGACCGCTTCTACGACAACAAGCTCGTCATCACTGGCAACGACGTCGGCGGCTTCGCCTGCGACGGTGCGGCCAAGACGGTTGTGCACGACAACGAGTACTTCACCGCCAGCGGCTCCATCGCGGAGTGCAAGATGAGCCTGCCCGACTGGCAGAAGAGGGGCGAGGACAAGGGCTCCACCGTCGCGAAGCTGCCCGCAGACAAGGAGATCATCGGGTGGGCGCGGAAGCTCCTGGGCTTCTAGATCTAGCCCACCCGCTCGGCCCCTGAGTCGAAGGAGATGGTCGTTTCTCGCGTTTGGGGGTCCAAGAGAAAAGAATCAAAAAAGCGAGATGATGATTTGGACCCCCCGATTGGCTAGTTGGCTTGCCGCGATGCCGGCGGCGGCGCCCTAGGTCATGCCCCAGGTCATGCTCTGCGAGAATTCTTTCGCACCAAGAGACGAACTCTCGGGGGCGAACTCTCGCCGCTAGCTGCCCCGGCACACCTCGGGCGGTTGCGAACGCTCTGCCACCAATGGCATCCGCCCGCCACGACGGGCCCTCGACGCCCCGCGTGCTTTTGATGGGCGCGCGGCGCGCCGGTAAGTCGTCGATCCAGAAGGTCGTCTTCCACAAGATGTCCCCACACGAGACGCTCTTCCTGGAGCCGACGAATAAGCTTGTCAAGAACGACATTGCGAACTCCTCCTTTGTGCAGTTCGAGGTTTGGGACTTTCCGGGCCACGTTGACACCACCTCGGCCGCCGTCAAGCCCGAGCTCACCTTTGGCGGCTGCAGCGCACTCGTCTGGGTCATCGATGCGCAGGACGACCACGCAGAGGCGCTCGCGCGGCTGCAGGTAACGGCCGCCTGAGCGTGGGCCAGCCCTTGTGCTCGGCTGTGGCCAACCCACCCGCCTCCCTCCTCCAGGCCACGATAGGGACGGCGTACCGGATCAACCCGAGCATCGTCTTCGAGGTTCTCGTGCACAAGGCATTCCGCCCGCCACCGCCGCCACCGCAGCGCCGCCCGCCGCCCGCCCCTTGCGCCCAGCACACTGCCTTCCCAGCGCCGCCGACCGGCCGGACCTTCCCTCCGCCGGACGGAGGGCCACACTCTTGCCCAGGACACGTCCAGGACACGTCCCTCACACGCCCCCGACACCTGCCTGTCGCCGCCGCCAGGTGGACTCCTTCTCCGAGGACCAGCGGATCGAGTGCCAGCGCGAGCTGCAGGCGTCCCTCTGAGCGGCCCTTCCAGAGCCCTCTCCGATCCCTCTCGGACCCTTGCTCGACCCTCCTCGGACCCTCCCTGAAGGCGCACCTCTCCGAGGAGCTCACCGCCTTAATTAATTACTCTCCTGATCTAAGTAATATTAAATCTCCGAAGGCGCACCTCTCCGAGGAGCTCACCGCCGCACGGCTGCAGCACGTCAAGGCGCGTGGGAGGGAGGGGGCGGGTGGCGGCGGCGGGGGGGAGGTGAGGGCGAGGAGGGGCGACACGGAGCACCCACAGCCCTCCTCCCGCCACAGGTCAACTTTCACCTCACCTCCATCTACGACCACTCGGTCTTCGAGGCCTTCTCCAAGGAGCATCCCCCCCCCCCCCCCCCCCGACCCAGCCCCTCCTCGGCCCCTCACACACACACACACACACACACACACACACACACACACACACACACACACACACACACACACACACACACACGCACACGCACACACACCCTGGCCCCCCCGGCCTGGAGCAGGTGGTGCAGCAGCTCATCCCTCAGCTGCCCACCCTCGAGTCGCTGCTCGACATCCTCGTCGCCTCGTGCCGCATCGAGAAGGCACACACACACACACTCACACACACACACACACCTACCCACCCCCCTCTCGCGCCTTCTCCCCTCCCAGGCCTTCCTCTTCGACGTCGTCTCGAAGATCTACATCGCAACCGACTCGTCGCTGGTGAGATGCAGCCGAGATGCAGCCGAGATGCAGCCGATATGCAAGATGAGCCTCACCCCGCGTCGCACCGCCACACGCGCAGGTCGACATGCAGTCGTACGAGCTCTGCGCCGACATGATCGACGTCGTCATCGACGTCTCCTGCATCTACGGCGCGGCTGCAGCAGCACAGGCGGCAGACAGACTCGAGGTGTGCTCACCTCCGCCCTGCCTCGCTTCAGGCCTCGGCGAGGGGGCTGACGACGGCACTGGCTCCACCGCCTCAAACTGCGTCATCACTCTCAACAACGGCACCGCCCTCTTTCTGCGAGAGATGAACCGCTCGCTCGCGCTGGTCCGCTTGCGCCGCGAACCCCTCCTCGCCCCCCTCGCCCCTCCCCGCGCGGCTCGAGCCCCGCTCCTCCGCAGGTCTGCATCCTCAAGGAGTCTGTGATGCAGCAGCAGGGCTTGCTCGAGTACAACTGCGCCTCCTTCCGAAAGGCCCACCTCCCCCCCCTTTCGCCCTGCCGCTGCCAAGAGCCCATCGCCGCCGCATCTCGAGCCAGCACGCCACCGTCGTCTCTCAGGCGCTCGGAGAACTCTTCCGGCTGCCCAACCAGCCCAAGTGACGCGGCGACATCCGGACTTGGTTGGACAGCGAGACAGGTCGCGGGAGCCGGGAGGTCGTGGAGCTCGCGAGAACCGAGAACAACAACAGCCCACCCTCGGCCTCGCGACTCGCGCTGTTCTCCGTATTCCGACACGCGACCGCACAGCGCTACGGTGGAGGTGTCCTCTTTTCTGTTATTTGCATGTACAATAGAGACAAAAAAGGAGACTCAGCTGACAGAGGCGTCTGCCATCGCAGAGTCTCCTGCGTCGCTGGGCTCGCGCTCGGCACTTGCGGTGGCGGCGCCCGCATCGCCCTCGGGCTCAGCGGCTGGAGGGGCGGCGGCGGCGGCCGGCACATCCGCACCGGACAAAGGGGGCGGCAGCTCGGCCTTGGCCTCGGGCTTCACCGGGGGAGTACCGATAGCTGCCGCCCCGGCGGCGATCGCGGCTGCTATCGCAGCGTGCATTCCGGGACCACTCGGCGAAGCCCGCGCCTGCTGAGGCTGTTGCTGCGGCGACGGCGGTGTCTGCTGCGGTGGCGGCTGCGTCTGCTGCGGCGGCGGCAGTGACGCTTGCTGCTGCGGCGGTTGCGCCTGCTGCTGCTGCGTGAGCGGTTGCGTTGGCTCAGGCGGCTCAGGCGGCGGAGGAGGCTGCGGCGGAGGTGGCTGCGGCGGAGGTGGCTGCGGCGGAGGTAGCTGTGGCTGCGCGCTCGCGTGCGCCGCCGCAGCTGCGACCGCTGCCACGGCATCCTCCGGCTCGTGCAGCTGGCCAGCCGCGCTCCCGCTGTGCGCCGCGAGCGCCTTCTTCTTGTCCTTGCCGCCCTTGAGCTCGCGCGCCTTCTTGCCGCTCCTCGCCGGACCGGACCCCTCCTCCCGCTCGCGCTTGGCGCCGGCGGCGGCCTCCTCCTTGCCGCCGAGGCCGGGCAGCCGGTCGCGGTAGTTTGCGTAATAGTTCTTGCACTGCGTCGACGTCTTTGTCCCCACCTGCTGCGCGACCTGCGCCCACGCCGAGGTGCCGTGCCGCTGCACCGCCGCGGCGAGCCTGCTGCGCTCCGCGTCCGACCAGCGGTTCGAGGTGGCGCCGCTGGCGGGGAGCGGCGGCAGCGGCGGCAGTGCGGCCGCAGGCTCGGCGACCTCCTCCGACCCCTCTGCGCGGGAGGCGATGTCCGACTCCTTGTACGAGAAGTTGCGCGCGCGCGCGCGCATGCCCTGCCGGAAGGGGTTGGTGACAAAGTCCTTGTCGTTGACCGGCTTGGGCGCCTCGACGGCGCGCGCGGGCGTGATGGCCTGCACCTCGCGGAACGCACGCGGCGTCGAGCCGGGGCGGCGGCGCTGCGTCTTCAGCAGCGTCTTTTTGAGGTCGAGCTTGTACTTGTTGAGGTAGTAGAACTGGACGCAGTCGCCGGGCGACTTCCACTCGAGGAAGGAGGCAATCTTGCGGAAGTTCTTGGGGTAGGTGAGGTACTTTGCGGTGAAGAGGGCCTCCTCCTCCTCGCTCCACACCATCCGCTTCTTCCGCTCGCGCTCGTCCGCCATCACGTCCGGGATGACGCCGTTGCGCGGTATAAACGTCGGCGTGGCAGACAGGAGCGGCTCGAGCAGCATCGGCGTCGGGACCGCGCAATTGGCGCGGCACCAGTCGTCGTTGCGCTCCTTCTTCTCCTGCTCGGCGAGCTGCGCCAGCACTGCGTTCATCTCCTCCTCCGACCGCACGACGTCGAAGGAGCCGACCGTGCGGTTGCGGCTGGCGCGCCCGCCGCTGGCGCCGTCGTCGTGAGCCGTCTTGAGCGACTTGCGCTTCTCGCGCTCCCGCTCGCGCTTGGCCGTCGCGGTGTCCCACGCGCGCTGCAGCTGGGAGAAGCGCGCGCGGAGCTGCGCGTTCGTCTGCTCGAGGCCCTGCGCGCGCTCGCGCACCGCCGGAAGCAGCCGCCGCGCCATCTTTGCGCGGCTGGCGAGGTTGGCGCGGTACAGCGGCAGCTCGGAGGCGAAGACGGGCTCGTCGTTCCGCCCCACGCGGCCGCCCTCCTCGAGCCGGGCGAGAAGCGCCTCGTGCGACTTCTCGGCCGCCTTCGCGTTGCGCATGTAGAGCAGCTCGATCAGGTCGGGGATCGACATCGCCTCGCGCCGCGAGGCCGTCGATGACGAGCCGCCACCGTCCGCGCCGCTCGGGGTGCTCGCCTGGAGCGCCTTGGCCTCGACGAGGGCGGCGGCGCGCTGCGCGGCGGTACGCTTCGCCTCGGCGACCTCGATGATCTTCTCCTTCTCCTCGATCACCGTCTCGATGTCGTCGATCTTGCCCAGCAGCTCCATCTTGCTCGGCTTTGGCGCCGCCGGAGCGGGCGCCGGAGCGGGCTCGGGCGCGGCCGGCTCGCCAACCGGGAGGGCGTCGTCGTCTGCCGCGGCGGGAGCCGGCTCGCCGTCGTCGGGAGCGGCCGCCTCGGGCGCGGGCGCGGGGGGAGCCGGGTCGGGAGCCGCCGCCTCGGGCGCCTCGGCGGGCGCGGCCGCCTCGGGCGCGGGCGCGGTGGCCGCAGGCGCCTCCGCGTCGGCCGCCGCCGGAGCGGGTGCCTCGCTCGAGGCGGGCTCCTCCGGCGCCTCCTTGAGGGCGGCCGGCTCGTCCTCCGGCTTGGGCTTGGCGAGGCCGCGTCGCAGCAGCCCCTGCCCCCAGCCCAGCCGACCGCGCGGCCGGACGCCTCCTGGCGACTCGCCGCCGCCGGCGAGCTCCGGCGCGGCCCTCGCCTCGGGCGCGAGCGAGGGCGAGCACGCGGCGGAGGGCAAGGGAGGCTCGAGGGGCTGGCTCAGCCGCGACGGGGGGGGCGGCGCGAGCTCCGCAGCCGAAGGGAAGAGCGGCGGCAGGCCGGGCAGCGCGCAGCTCGGCGGCGCGAGCGCGCCCGCCCTGCTCTCGGGCTGGCGCAGGCTCGGGGCGGGCTCGAGCGAGAGGCGCGGCCCCATCCAGTCGCGGCCCCCGAACGGCGGGCCGCCCGCCCGCGCGGGCACGGCGGAGTCCAACGGCGGGGCAAACGGCGGCGGCACCGGCGGCGGCGGCAGTCCGTGCGAGGTGGCCGTCGTCGTCGCCGCCGCGTTGCTCGCTCGCGCTTGCTCCCAGTCGTCGGGCACGTCAAAGAGGCTGTCGTCGTCCCCGCCCGCCGCCGGCCGGGGCGGCGGCGGGGCGGGCGGCGGGGCGGGCGGCGGGGCGGGCGGGAGCTCCGCGTACCCTCCGCCGTGGAGGGGCATCGACGGCGGGCCGAGCTGCTGCGGGTGCATGTGCGGGGGCGGGCCCCGCCCGTGCGGCCCCGGCCGGTGCGGCGGCGGCGGAGGAGCGCGGCCGAGGTCGCCGGCAGGCTCGCGGCCGGGGCCCATGCCGTCGTGCGGCCAACCCGGCCGGCCGTCGTCCTTCCAGCCCCGCGCGTACGGGCCCGCGTCAGGCGGTGGACGGCTGAGCGGCGCGCTGCCATCGCGGCGCATCCCGCCGCTGCTGTGCTCGCGAGGCATGGGCTGGCCCATTGGCGGCCGGGCCTGCTGCGCGTGCGGCGGCAGCTGCTGCCGGTGCGGCGGCGGCGGCGGCGGCGCGCCGTGCATCCCCATCCGCCCTCCGCCTGGCGGTGGCGGCGGAAGCGGCCCCGGGCCGCGCTGCATCGGGTGCGGCTGCTCGCGTGGCATCGGGTGCGGCTGCGCGTCAGAGAAGCGGCTCCGCTCGCGCCGGATGTCGGGCCGGTCGTCGGCAGGGTTGCTGCCGCGCATGCCCGCGTTGGGACGGTCGTCCCATCGCCCGCCCGGTCTGACGGGCTCGCGCGGCATGCCCGCCTCGCGGCCAAGCATCGGGCGGCTCATGCCCGGGCCTGCAGAGCAGGGCGCGGGTCAGAGGGCAGAGCGAGACGGGCAGACAAGGCGGGCGGGTTGCGCGCACCGTTGGGCTGGTCGGGGAAGCTGCGCTGCGGGCGCATGGGCGGATCGGGAGGCCGGCCGCGCATGCCGCCATGCATGCCGGACCAGCTGTTCTGACGCCCGAGCGCGTTGCCGCAGCCAGGGCCCTGCGCCGGCCCGCCTGCGTGCAGCACAGGGTGCGGCGTCGGATAAGACGCGCCGGCCGGCCGAGAGGGAGGTATGTTGAGAAGGGGGGCGGGATGGAGGGGGCAGCGGAGGCGCTTGCGGCTCCCCGTCGGGAATGCGAGGAGGAAAGGAGGGAGGCGGTGGGGCCGGGGTGGGGAGGGCGGGGTGGGGAGAGGGAGGTGGGGGCGAGGGAGGCGGTAAGGGAGGGAGTGGGGAGGGTGGAGGCAGAGAGGGAGGTGGGAGGTGGGGGAGAGGGCGGGGCTGGAGAGGACGGGGGTGGAGAGGGTGGGGGTGGAGAAGGCGGAGGTGGGGAGGGTGGGGGTCGGAACGATGGAGGTGGGGGGAAGGAGGAGGAAAAGCGAGATGCGTAACTGGGGAGCGAGCGAGCGGTGGAGAGCGAGGTGGAGAGGGGGGGAGGAGGGAGAGGGGGGAGAGGGGGGAGGACGGGGCCGGCAGGCACGGCGCACCGTCTCCTCGAACCGGGCTCCCGATCTCGCCGTCCTCGAGTTCTCCAGGCTCTAGATCTTTGCCCCGGCGCTTGCCGCCCGACGCGTTGGGACGCATCAGCACGCCGCCGGCCCCGTCCACCAGCGAGTCAGCGCGCCGCAAGGATCGACGGCACGGTTACTAGCGAAAGAGACGCGGCGCTCTGGACTTTGACCCGCGCAGCACCTGCTGCACCCACCCCGGGCGCCACCACCGCCACCGGCTCCCCTGTAGGTTTATGTTCACGGCCTCGGCCGCTGCGCGACCGGGAGCGGCCGCGGCGAGCGGAGCACGGACGATCGGGTAGCGAGGCCTGCGCCGAGGCGCAAAAGGCAGTGTGTGCGCGCGGCGCGGCGGCTGGCTGCTGGCGGTTGGCGGTTGGCGGTTGGCGGCTGTCGGCTGTCGGCTGTTGGAGCTAGGCCGCAGAGGTGCGCGACAACCTTGCCGAGATTGAGAACAACCTCTCCTCCACCCTTCTGAACGAGGACCCGTCGGTCAGCCGCTCGTACATCTCGCCGAACCGGGTGCGGCCGGACCACTTCAAGGGCTTTTCTGCCGACGAGCATCAGGCCATCCTTCAGCAACAGGCGGAGCAGGCGACAGAGCGGCAAGAGGCAGAGGCCGAGGAGCGCGCGTGGAGCTCGCAGGTGGCGGAGGAGATTGAGCATATGCGGCAGGTGCGCTGCTCGACCGAGGCGCAGCTGGAGGCAAAGAGGGCGGAGATGCGGCGGGTCTTTGCTGAGGAAAACCGACAGCTCGCCGAGACGCAAAAGTCCAACCAGAGCTTCTTGGACTCCGTCGTCTACCCAAACCAAGTCTCGGAGCACTTCTTCAGCTTCTTTAACACGACCTCCCGGTGAGGGCGAGGGAGAGATGGGTCTGTCGATTGGCTGCTCTTTGCGCTGACCGAGGAATTCCTTTGCTGTGTCTGTCCGGCAGCGCCACTGCACAGGGGCGTGCGAGACCGAGAGAGTGTGTGGGGTAGTTTGCTCTGGGGGGGGGGGGGGGCGGTGCCGCGGTGCCGCGGTGCCATCCTGCTTCATCCCGCGTGCCATCCCGCTTCCGCCGTGTTTCATGGGCGTGTACGCGCACAGCGCCCGTGCGCACTCCGCAGCGTGGGACTGGCCCGTGGCCGCAGTGAGACCACGTGGTCATGTGGCCGTTGGCATTTTGAAATTTTCAAATACTATTTCGTATTTGGGTGTGCTCTGTGGCGGAACTGGAGGCGCGCGCGCCCAGGACGCCAGAGGCAGCGGCAGAGCGCCGGGCCCGGGGCGCGGGGGTCGCAAAAGCCGCGCACAGCGGGCCATAGGCCCAGGCGCTCGCGAAAAAGTCGAGATATGCACTCCAGATATGCAGTCCAATTCATGAACGTGTGAAAAATATTAGTACAACGTATGAACACAGAGAGACGGACAGATGCGTCCTCGACGTATATGCGTGACAACAGACAAGGGAACTCTGACGGCATCACCTGCACGTGGATTGCGCTAGTCTCTCTTCGTGTTGCCCACGTTCCCTCCGCTGCGAAGCTGCGCGCCGAACTCGTTGATGAACCTACAGCAAAGCACTGTCGTTCGATCGCGGCCATCCTCCACGCAGAGCGGCGGCGGCGGCAGCGCGCACCAGACGACGATGGCCAGCAGAATTACCGCCATGCTCGTGAAGACCTTGAGATGGAACGCGACGTCCTGCGACAACGGAGAGGGGTGTCATCCAGGCGCACCCCCTCTACTCCTTGAGGGGAGCGAGTGTCGCGACCGGGTCGTCGATGTAGCAGCACATGACGAGGAGCACGCAGATGAGGAGAACCAGCGAGGCCTTCAGCGTGATGAAGACGCCATTCCCGACGCCCGGCTGCAGCAGCGAGTCGAGCCAGGAAGGAAGCCCGAGGTCCTTGAGAGGGGACTGCTGGGCTGTGGCCATATCGCTCGCGTTGAGAAATGGTGCGCGGACACCGCACAAAAAGAAATCGCAGCGCCAATCCGGTGTGGTGGCGGCGTGCCGTCCTCCCATTCCTCCCTTGGGTTGTGTGTGTTTTCTTCTTCTTTCTTTTCTACCCGTCTAACAACCTGATTCTCTTCCGATCTCTCCTCCACCGCGAGGCCGAGTCCCACACGCTCTATATACGCGATCTGATGCCTCCTCCTCGCTCCATACTCTCCCGTCCAGCCTCTCCGGGGTGCTTCCCCAGTAAGTCGCGGGGTGTGGCCCTCGCTATGCCGAACACCGCCCCCTGGCTACAGCCCCTTTGCACGTGTCAGACGAGCGCGTCGCCTACGGGCTCAAGCCAACGGAAACGGGTCCGGGGAGAGGTGCGGGTGGCTGAGGGGCAGGGAGGCGGGGCAGCTGGCGCCGCTCTGGGAGGCTCGATTCCGTTGCCGTCGGTAGCCGCGGCTGCGGAGCCAGAGCTTCTGCGAGAGGCCCGCACACAAGAGGTGGACCCAGTGCGCCGCCATGCCTGGTGGCAGGGCGGGGCGGCGGTGAGGGCGGGCGGCGCTCCCGGGTCTCGCTGTCTCTCTGTGGGGCGAAGAGCGTGGGGGGCGAAGGCGTGGGGGGCGCGGGGCGCGGCGCGGGACGGTGAGAGGGGTGCGGGTCCGCGCCGAAGAAGAGGACGGCGAAGGCGAGGTAGGGGAGGATGAGGAAGAGGGCAGCCTGCGCGCGGCCGGGGCGGCTGAGCGGGTGGGCTGCTGCGTTGCGCCTCTCGAGCGGGGCAGACGCCGGGCGGTGTCTAGGGAGTGTCTAGGGAGTGTCTAGGGAGCGTCTAGGGAGCGTCTAGGGAGCGTCTAGGCAGGCGCCGGGTTGTGGCTCGGCCTCACGTCTGCCCACCTGCGAGGCCGCGCGAGAGAGAGGCCGCCTGGGGGGACTCGCCGGCGGGGTGGGCGGGGCAGAGGGGCGGGCGGGGGCGGGCGGACATGTCTGTGACGAGCGGCATCACCACCAAGGTGGCCGTGACTAGCGCCAGCAGCCACGCGCCCGCCACCGCGCCCGGCATGAGCATGATCAAAGGCAGCACCCCCTCGCACGCCTCGGAGCGAGCGCTGGGCGAGGGAGGGGGAGGGGCGCGTGAGGCGGCCGGGCTGCACGCAGCGGCAGCAGCGCAGCGGCAGCAACGCAGCGGCAGCAGCGCAGCGGCAGCAGCGCAGCGGCAGGGAGAGGGGAAGGAGAGCCGAGGCGTGGCGTGCGGCGAGTGCGTGCGGGGGCGGCTGGCACCAGCCGCGGAAGCAAAAGAAGACGAGGACGAGCAGCAGCTGGGGAGAGGGGTGAGGCGGTGGGGTGCGCGAAGGGCGGTGTGGTGGGTGGTGTTGGGTGGTGAGGCGAGGGGGCGGCGCGAGGGTTGTGGCTTGTGGTTGGGGTTTGTGGTTTGTGGGTTGTGGGTTGTCGGCTCGCGGTTGTGGTATGGGAGGGGTGGGGGCACCAGCGCGATGGTCATCTTGAGGGGGTCATGCTCGAGGGCGAGAGTCGGGCCCGGCGGGGCAGCCATTCTGAAGGAATGAGGGGGGGGGGGGGGAAGGAAGCGAAGGTCCGGCGAATCCAGTTGGGCCCCAAAGGGCCAAAAGGGCCCCCCCCTTTACAAACGGTGTGCTGGAGGCCCAAAGGGGCCAAAACCGGCCAAAAGGTTGCAAAAGGGCCCACCCGG